GTGTATGTTTAGCAAGGACGCAAGTCTCACACACACACGTGCTGGCTGATTGTATGCTGTGTCGGTCAACATCAAATCCAGCTACCATATTATGACGCAGCAACGTCTCAAGGTTGCTGTATCCCAAGTGGCCATACCTTCGGTGCCAAAGTGCTGCACGTTCAGCTCCGATACCCACGGCAGCACACACTGCATCACCACCAGAAGGTATCCTGTTGTCTTCACGCTGCGTCCTCTTCAGAGCTCCCGTACCTCCACTGCTGTAGCAGACGGGATACAAGTCCCCATCCCGCTTTCCAGTCAGCACCAACTGGTTCTGTACGTATACTTTCGCCTGTCCGCCGCCGAAGACCACACTGCCTCCACGATCATCAATGATGCGTACCGATATGATTTTGGCGGTGGCCTCCTCGTCGACGTAGACCTTCTTGAAAGTGATGGCCTGTTTATCGTTGACGTTAGACCGAATCGTAAGCGTGCCAACTTCAGTCGGTCGAAGAGACTGTCCCTTGATGCCCATGATGTTGAAGCGCTCCCACGGCTCCAACAACCGCACGTTGAAAAGTTCTGAGCGGTCATACGTTATGTGGTGAGTGGCGGCAGAAACCATTCCGTCGGACGATTGCTGTTGTATGCCACGAATGCTACCTGCCGCGGAACTCCTGGCCTCCTAGCTGATCCACCGGATCCTGGCTTGCTGCCGCTAGCTCCGCTGCCACTACCTCCGTTACCATTGTTGCTGTAGCCACCCTTGTAGCCAGAATTTGACGACTGCTTCAGCGCCTTAAGCTGCCTGCAGTCCTTAACCACGTGCCCAGGTTTATTACAGTAGTAGCAGATGACTTGCTTCCGACTATGTCCCGAGCTGTTGTTAGCCGGCCCCCGGCTACCATAACCAGAAGTAGAAGCGCCGAACGTCGAACCGCCGACAGACGCGAAGGCTGCCGACTCGGTAGGCTTGCCCGACCCACCGTTAGCCGTCTCGATAGAGAGAAGCTTTGCTGTGACGCTCGCCATGTCCAAATCGCCGTCGCGCATAAGTAATGTAGTCGTCACCACGCTGTACCGACTGGGTAGACCAACTAGCACGGTGTACGCCAGCTCGGAGTCGTTAACTACGTGGCCGACTCCCAATAAATCTGTTTGCAGCTGCCTTGCACGCGCAAAGTACATCGGAAGAGGTTCGCCGTCGACCATCTTAAAACGGCTGAATTCTTGACGTAGAGACACCTTGCGTGCGTTGTTGTTGGCAGCAAACATAGATCCCAAGGCGTCCCAGGCCTTCTTCGCGTTGGCAGCACCGGTAACCATCGGCAAATGATGATCCTTGACGTTCTTGATGAGCAGATTGATGACCTTCCGTGACTGTCGAATTTGCTCCTCGTTGCACGGCTCGGCGAGCAGGGATTGCTCAAGCCCAAGCTCCATGCACATCGCGCTAAACCGAATTTGCCAGGTAGAGTAGTTGTTGAGGTCCAGCGACTCATCAAGCTTGTCCTTAACCATTGTCGATGAGGGATAGAAATAACAATTGGGCGATAGCTGTCGGCGCTAAACGGGGCTCATAACCTATTGAAGAATTGGCGACGGTGACGGCTAACGCTGATTGTTATTCCGGAAGGATTGCCGGTGGCGAAGATATTTAGCACGATAAACTGTTACAAGTAATGTAAAGAGTATTATTAGCGTTCGGCAGGACTTGAGGAGATTCCTGGTAGGAATACCGATCGTTGTGAGATAAACTAATAGGCGCAGTCACCGCCCTAAATACCGGCGCTAGCGGAAAACTCGTACATTCCGCGATCTAACTGCACGTACATTCCGCGATCTCACTGCGCCGACCAGACGGTGCCCTAATGTCTATCACTTAGCTACCGGATATGCATCGGTAGCCCCATAATGTTCTGGGGTAAGTCTTCCCCATTAGTCAGGCGCAGACCCGGGGTCAAATCCCCTGGTCGACAACCACACGAGTTGGGAGAGGACCGTTTCCTCAACAGGTTGCGTTTGTAGCTTACAACAGTAAGCGTCTGAGGGATCCTGGCCGAATATCAGAATGGAGGACAGTATCGTGTTGTGTACGTCCCCAATGTCTGCCTTGATGGGTTTAATGTCGGCCGGAGGCACAATGCCAGGGATTCCGATGATGGGTCCGATACTTACGAGGGTTGCACACTAGCTTGCCTGGTGAGGGGTCGCTGCCTAGGGCTGGCGAATGGACATCAGGCAATACCGTCAGCGAGGGACCGCCGCATTTGTGTGGTGAGGGGGCGCCGGCTGGGGCTGGACCTCCCAGAAGTGTGAATGTGCAAGGAAATACATACCCTGATGTGGAAATGCTGGGGGCTCGGTATTCAGTTAGGGAATGCAAACGTCCTGGCGAGTGGTGACGGAGTATACCTGGTGGTAGTGCTACAGGCCGAGTCATTGCTGCAGTATCTGCTGGGATTCAGAGCCTAACTTTTTATGCCGAAGCTATCTCAGGCCCACATGCAGACGACTGGCGGCAGTGAGTGTCGCGAAAATTCTGTATCCGGTAGACCCCGCTGGATAGCATGGATTGCAGCAGGCGATCATTTGCTGCAACTACAAACAGACCGGCCGTATAGCTCGGAGTTGTAGAGAGAGCCGCAGCCTAACGTGCAAGGAAGGAGTGGAGGTGGTCTTGGCGCCCACACCCGCACGTGGCAGGTGGGGTAGCATGCCTCAACAGACAGGCGATGACGGCAGTGCAATGATGCCACGTATTTTTGCTGCAAGAAAAGAGCAACTATCTTGTTTAAGGGGAACTGTGTTTCCTAAGTCTACGGAGCTTGGCAGAGGCCCTGACTCAGGTACACCAATACTAGCCTCTTCGGAGTTAGACAATTCCCCTTAAACAAGATAGTTGCTCTTTTCTTGCAGCAAAAATACGTGGCATCATTGCACTGCCGTCATAACCCCCCCAGACCCCCCCCCCGATAAGTTACAACTCCCCTCATAGACCAAGAGGCACGCACTGCGTTGGCGCGTTTTCGTTCATGTGCGCACTCTTCATGCACATGCATAGATAGTTCTGGCACTGTTTGTGAACAAAAAGTAAATCCGACCAAGCAAAGGCCCAAAGCAAGCAACCGCATAGCAAATCAAAGGCCGTCACCCGCCACTGCAAACCACAGCACACTAGGACTCTACCGGTTCATCATGTACCGGCCCCTGCTGCTGCTGTCCAGCCACTTCCTCAGTCAACGTGCAGGGGATGCAGCGCACTTGGTCGTGCACTTCTCCGGCGTCCACGTCAGCATGCACAGGCTGGGCCCAGGGATACCCGGCGGCCCAGGCAATCTGCCATCTGTAGGGATTTTCTTTCTGCTTGTCCCGCCATGCACTGTCGCTCTGGCCCTTGCGGATGTGCTGTGTCTGAGCCCGCTTGGCACTGCGAGCGCTCGGGTTGGGCGCCTCGTCGCATTCGTTGTTGTCGAGCTGATTGGGCGCTTATGCTGATCAAAACCGCCATGGAAGGCAGGGGTAATGGCGCCCGGGTCATCGGTCGCCGCTGGCAGCAACACCATTGCCGATGCATTACCGACAACAGCACCGCCGTCCCAAACGCTTTTATGAGGAAATATTTCAGGCTTATCTTGCTGTTTTGGTGTTTGTTCGGCGTTCAAGTCGTTGCCTTTTGCGTGTTTCGCTATGTAAGGACCGGTCATACATTGACTCACGGGGTTGACCTTCTTACGGCCCCTCATATCTATTCTATGATCGATAATACTAAGTTCTGCACACTACGGAGCAATCTGGCAGCAATGGACATTTTTGGCTGGTGGAATGAAAATGTACGAATCGGCCTCGATTTGTTCCTTATTTCCAAAGGCCAAAATGGCCTCTTTATTCCTTAAAAGGAATATATTACTTGCCTCGACCTTGCCTCGGCCGTGCCTCGACCTTGCCTCGGCCGTGCCTCGACCTTGCCTCGGCCATGCCTCGACTTGCCTCGGCCGTACCTCAACCTTGCCTCGGGTCTCTCGGCCGCGTATCTCGGACGTGACCTCAGGTCCAGGGATGGTGGACATCTGTACGATACTTCCATTGGTACTGGTTTATAAGACACGAGTTGTGCTAGTCTTATTATCTCATCTTTGTATGGATCGCTATTCCTTAGTAGGAA